AGTGAAGATATTTGTGTTTTCCATCCGTTACTCTCATCTCTGGACTGTATTCGCACTTTCCATCAGGCGCGGTGCAGTCATTTTGCCGAGTCACAATAAAATAAAAAAAATTCTTGTTAAAGGTCATCACCACGCCTATATTCCAACTCCAAAACACTCCACGTAATCTTTCTACTCTCTGTTTTTCAATCCGTAAACTTGAGCTGCTGACGCCACTGCCACCCGCAACCTACTACCCAGTCTCCCTAAATAATAATACGTTAGGTTTAATCCGGTTCTGGGAAAACCTATAAACTATGAAACGCAAAGAATCTCCAGACAAGTTAAACAAGGCGAAAGATCGATGCTAATAAAACTTTTTTGTTTAATAATGTAACTTCCTAATTTATAGTATAATAAGTAAAGTTAATACCTTCATGCTCACGGTTACATTTATCACTACACAGCTATTTTTGATACACAATGATATTATAAAAAAAGATCATTGATGATTGAAAGTAACAAATAGAAGAAAGAAAGAAAATGCATTCATTAGACTGCAACATAGAACACCACACAAAAAAAAAGAGACAAAACAATGACCTATGGATAAAACAAAACAAAAGAATGTTTATTAATACAAAGATCGAACACAGAAAATCTTTTTCGACCCGATGGGATTTGAATGGGACTCATACTGCACAGTAGTATTGCTTCATCGAGTATAGAACCAGAAATAGAGACGAAATGTCATTTAATTTGTTTGAAAACTATTCTGCCAAATCATTGCGATGACAAATGCGCTTCGATTGGCCAGCCCGAAATCGAAACAATTAACGGGTGTCGTCAATAGTGTCGTTAATTATTTCACATCAAATCGACCAGGTAACTTGAGCTTTGCTATAATTACGTATTTAATATTTAATTACCGATGAAATTTGATTCCGTTTGTTTTGTAATTAATGTTTTGCTGTTTTTCCCCATACCACCGAATGGAAGAGCGCGCTATTGTTAGAGACATTATCTTTATTACAATAAATACAGAATATTTTTGGAATATACGGAGACTTCCACACAGGTCAGTTGTTGGCGTTGTCTATATTTCAGTGCAAACGAGAGTTGATATTTATAAGTGAAATATCACTGATGAGTTACCAGGAATGTATGGCCTTTATTTCGTCTCTATTTCTGTATTGTTTTTTTTTTTTATTTATTTATTTATTCATTCAGGCAACTAAGGCCCATATAACAAATACCTTACAGACTAACATACATATTATTATTATTGATACATACCTTACAAACTAACATACATATAAAATAATATAACTATTTACACGAATTACTATTCGGCGACGTGCGACGCAAACAAGTGTCATGTATCGTTCCTCTGAACCGCCGGAAAATGACACCCTTCGGCCAAAACTCTACCTGCATGAAAGTCGACAGATGGATGGACAGATGGATGGTATTGCTATTGATGTATTGCTCTTACCAACTAAGCTACGTGTTTTTGTTAAAGATCTTTGCACTGGATCTGTTTTTGAGCCACTAGTGACATCTAGCGAGACATTTTAGAACTTCTTCACCGCGGCCTGCACCATAGGGTGAAAAAGTTTTTCTATGTGTTTGATCCATTATATTCTCGATGGTTCGATCTTTATTATATTAATATTCATAATTAAAACTAGTGGAGTTATTTCACAAAAAAATTCAATAATACATAGTGCGCACTATAAGTTTCCGTAACTGGCCACTTACATAAACAATATTTTAAAAGTAATTACGACATTTGAAAATGGAACTCTTTGGCTGTAGAATACAGTTTGTTTCATCTGACTGTCACTTGTTTTTACATTGTTGCGTCATTTTAGAAATTGGTTGTCTACATCACCATGGATTTACCTCGTGAAAATTTTCGTAGTATGATTTTCAACGACTATAAGTGTAACAGCTCAGCGGAGCTTCGCTCGGCTTCAAACTGCTTTTGGCGATGAAGCACCATACAACGACTATTTACTGCTGGTTTGCAGAATTCAAACGCGGTCGTGTGAATCTCAGTGATGAATTTCGTGATGGTCGCCCGTCCACTGCTGTGAACAACAAAAACATCGATGCTGTGCGCCGTGTGATCAAAACAGACAGGCATGTGACATACCATGAGATTCGGGCATCTTTAGGCATAGGCATGAGTCAAACACAATGAATCAAACACAAACATTTGTGTGTGAAAAAGCTGTGCTCTCGGTGGATCCCACACAATTTGACTGAGGCTCAAAAAACGGATCGCGTCACTTGGTGCAATGACATGCAAACCAGATTCATCGAAGGGGCATTAAATTTGGTGTGAAACATAATAACAGGTGACGAAACATGGATTTATAGTTACGATCTCAAAACAAAGCAGCAATCGAGCGTATGGGTTTTTCGAGATGAGCCGAAACCATAGATTTTGAAAAATTGAAAAAGAAATTGAAAATTTATACTGAACGGAGCTCACCAAATTCGGAGGAAGGCAAGGGACACGGGGAAGGCAATTAAGACATTCTGATTCGCTAGTTCAAGGTCGAACTAGAAATGCAGTCAAATTGCACATACAGCTAGTGATGGCAACCATTACCAGTCTGCATCGAATTAGTCGATAAAACGATAATATTGTAACATAAATTATTAAATTCTTACATGCTGATTTAACAAAAGAAAAGCATATAATGTATCAGCTGCTTATGATCCCACGCAAAAGCCGTAAAAGCCGACTGGGGTCTTGGGTTTAATGGCGTCCTATATGTAGACGACATGCTGGCAACCTATCACTATTTAGTGCACTAAGTTATACTAAAATTTCAATAAAAACGTTTGCTAAACGTGGCTACAGTGGGCTTTTTTTGTTCAAAGCTCTGCCTACCCCTATGGGAGACAGGCGTGACGGTAGTATGTATGTAAATTATTGAATGACTTACGACAGCAGCATATTTAGATACAGGAAAAAAGGAATTGTAAGAAAACAAGGTACTTCAGTATTATAAGTTGTCGTATTTACAAAAGCATAACGAAACTGATATTTTTTAAATTATTTATTTAGGACAACTTACAAATATTTGGCGTTTAATAATTTCTTTGCATTTCACCCCCAATGAATCCAACGTACATAGATTTTCTGCCATTATTAAATTTTGTTTTTCGATGCCAATGAAATAATTTTTCTTTTTAATCTTCTATTTGAATCACGGATTTTTCTTAATTTCTTATTTTTTGTCTTAAATACGTTACTTAATTCTATTATCCTTCGACAAAGTCATTTTTAAACCGGAGATTCATATGCTGACGGCGTAGTAGCTAATGCGAGTGACAATGTTCGTTTTTTCTCGGGCGTCTTCGTGATGGTTTGATTATGAGAGCTTGATGGGACCTCGATGTCTTGCATAGGACTGTTAATCTGAAAACCACTTAAGTACTAATAAATTAATGAAGAAAACTCTTTCGCAAGACATTATTATGAACTTTGAAAAATTTCAAGGTTATTGAACTATACAAATGTATTAAAACTTTGAAAAAAAATCCTTCAAAGCTATAAATGTGACCTTAATTACTAGTACTAGTAAAAGAAGTGTCCTTACCAATAATGGTAGAAATAAAGTTGGAACAGCTGTATCAAGCAATCGCCTTCGATTCTTCATTGTGTGAAAATTATCTGCGAAATGTCTTGAGCAAATTACACTATTATTTGTAGCCAACCAACCTTCTTCTCGAGAAGTTGCGTCTATCCATTTGTTTTTTCGCTCAAGACATTTAGGAAACCTAAAAACAAATTTAAAACTTTAGTCACTGTCAAACAAGACTACACGAGTTATTATGTATAATTGAGTAGAATTGTAATGAAATTATAAAATTACAATGTGTGTAAATAAATAAAAAATTACAATAATTCTTTATTTCCTCTTTACGCAAAGTATCGATGTGAGGAACTCTCAAATCTTCCCAACCCTAGTGTTACACGTGTCTTCGACAAAAAGAGATGCTTAATTGTAAGAACATAATAAAAGAAAAAGACCTGCCAAAAAGACATCAACGAGAGATCAGTTTCCTTCGTAATTTTTTAGTAATAGCCATTTTAATTTGACCTATGCCAAACTTGCAAATAACGTAGTTATAACTTACCGGTGAAACGTGATTCCATCTTTTTGAAAGTTTGAGGTCTTGGATGATTTTCCACGCCATTTTTATAGTTCGTTTCACCAAAACCAGTGCAATAATACAGGAATATCAGGAAATGCGCGCCGGTCTGATACTTGGTCGAAACTAAGTGTTGAATTTTTTCAAACCTTTATATATGTGCAATTGCACAGATGTGTGGTGCGCGTCAGTTGCCCTGTATGCGGCATCTATTAGGAGGTTATCTATGGCCAAAACCAACCAAAGTGGTGCGCGTGCAAAGTGGTTCTGATGATTGCTTCTTTTTTTAATAAAACTGGATACGTGGCTACTGTTGCTTTAGAGAAACGTTGTACCGTGGATAGTGATTGGTACGCGACCATTTGTTTGCCGGAAGTTATTGACAAACTCCGTAAAAATAACCGTAAACGCCGTATCATCTTGAACTACGATAATGCCAGTTCTCACACGGCCAGACAGACAAATGAATTTTTGAAGGTGAACAACGTTGACCTTATGAGCCATCCCGCGTACAGTCCCGACCTGGTACCTTGTGACTTTTATGTATTTCCAAAAATTAAGAACCAGTTACGTGGTCAACGATTTTCATCACCTGAAGAGGCATCGAAGAGTACGAAAAATATGTTTCAGAAATTGTCACAGAGGCATACATGTTTTCAAAATTGGTTCATTCGAATGAAAAAGTGCATTAACGCTAACGGAGAATATTTTGAGAAATAATAAATTCATTTCTGACCATTTATAGTATTTTTTTCTTATTCATTCCGGAAACTTATAGTGCGCCACACGTACATTAGAAGAAAAATTATGTCCATGTGTTTTAAAGTAAGTTTTGTGTTTGTTCGCAGTGATCCTGATTGTTTGCCTGTTCAGCGTCAAGTATCTAATGGCGGCGATCCGCACCGGCCACATGTACACCCACCCCGGGGAAGTTTATTATAAATACTAACATATTGTAATTATCATAAAATTAAGTATTTATGTTAAGATCTCTAATGTTCTGTGGTACAACTGTACTCATACTTCAGGGTAAAAAAATAACGAGGGAACCATGTGCCAGTGAACTAATTTTATTTCGAAATAAGTTTGATGATGCCCTGATTGTATTAGAGAACAGTTCTCTTGGAAACATTTCTCTTCTCGGATCACTACGTCTGTAGAAATACCTACATATCGCACTGTCAAGTGCGATATGTAGGTATAACATAGTATTATCTCGAAAATTGCGTTGTAATTTTAGCTCAAAATTGCGTAATATATTAATAATTTATTTATCTCCAAAATATTGCCATATTTGTATGTCATTCGTAGACGATTTCATTTCAAAGTGACAGGACAACACTGTCGCTTTGAAATTAAATAGATAATATTAATATAATTTAAAGCTATTTTGAGATAATATTACGTTAGTTGTCATGTGCGATATATCTAAAAGTAATTTGCTCAAATTATTGCCTTAGAGTTTTGAAAAAAATATGTAAAATATTTATAATTATCCACATTTATGCTTGATTATTTATTTAAAACATTTCGATGTTATGTAAATTTAAATAGGTACCTACTTTCTTCTTGATTACAAAATAACAGTCAATCCAACCTTATAAATATGATTAAAATATCTATGATTTTTTTTCTTAAAATTGTAGGTACGTATTTTGAAGAGAATTTAATATATTATAAAGTTTAGGAATAAAAACATTGAAAATACAATAAAATATAGTATTTTATTTATCATTCTGGTATCTATCTATAACTTAAAAATTATTACAAAACCTTTGTAAAAGGTATAAAAAGCAAATAAATTAATTTCACTGGAAATTACAATTTCCCAGGAATTCATAAATACCTTCACAACTTTTCATGTTACACACATACAGATTTCAACAAAATAAATTAAATATAATCACAGTCGTACAAAATAATGCTACACTACCTATTGCTATAACATAAGTTATACATATATTTTTCACAGTACCAAATTGTCTATTTATCGGTATCAATATAATACATTTCCAAAATGTATATCTTCATACACAGAGTTTACGTCTCTTCGCCTTCTGCGACCAAGCATCATCGGCACTACCATCGCCATGGTAGCCGGCACCATTCCTGCCCCCACCGCCGCTAGCACCGTTGAACTATCCGGTAACACATTTCTTACAACTTTCCTTTTCAATATTCTGCTGAACACAGGCTTGTTCTGCGAAGCTGACATTCCTAGATCAATTTTCTTATCCATATCTCTCTTCGATTCTTCCACAGTTTGAAAACTCTTTTCAACCTCTAACAAACCTCCATGCGAAGTAGTCATATTTGTAAGCGTATTGTCAACGGGCAACACGGTTAAAGCCACAGCTTGATGTGACGTCATGCTTGGAGGCGGAGAGAAGTCCAGACGATCTTCAGCTATTGGATTCAACGACCTTTGCCGTTTTTTGCTCCTATAACCTTTAGTTGTAGATAGCAGCACCCATTGGCCATCACCGTAGGGAGGCCTCACTGCATTTCGATCGCTGTCGAAGTCTGAAGATCCGGCATATACCACTTGTGTAGGTCTTCGCATTGGTCGGTGCATTGTCGATTGATGCAAAGCTTCGTAATCATACGGAAAGTGCGCTGGGCGATTATCTGTTACTACGGAATCTGACATTCCGTAAAACACTGTGTCGTCACCCGGATAACTTTCTTGGGAGTCACAATTAGGTTTATATGGACGACGACCTTCATCCGAAGACCATGTTGACGAAAAGGAACTTTGCACTGGTCTCGTCCAAGTAGGTTTAGATGGCATTTCGGAATCGTACTCAGAAGATGAATGCAACTTATTGTTAATAAAACCAGGTCGTGAAAGGGTGGGTTTCTTCTGACCAAAATTATAATTATTTGTCACTCCTTGATATGAAGGAGAATAAGCGTCATCACTAGGATATCTATCGTGATCGTCATTCCAATGATTAGGTTTTTGTTTTTTTACATTTGGTTTCCACTTTGATATTTTACTAGTAGACCACGCCACAGGCTCCAAAGTCACCCAACCGTCTCTATCGTCATAAGGATGTTTATGATGTTTTACTTTTAAACGATTCCACGATGTATACACCTTTCCATTTCCGTCCTCCTCTGATTGATCATCATTCATAGAAGAGTATCGATCAACTTTAAATTTTTCTTTCTTCAATTTTGCTGCCAGCTGCGTTATAGCTTCAAGGCGATCTTTAGAAAAATCACGAAAATCTTTAAGCTTTTCCGTATCTAACACGTAATCATCGGAGTCCTTATGAGGTCCATCATCACTGTTAGATCCTTCCTGGCAAGATGGCCCGTAACACCGCGGATTATTTTCGTTAACATCGTAAACGATGTGTGTCATAAGGTTTTTCATCTCAACGTCACGATCGTCCTTATCAAACTTTTTCTCAGTTGAAATTTCTTTCCATTTACTATGTCCGGTTTCCGCAGACGATGTTTCAATTATTGTAATAGGTTCCTTTCCTGGCACTTCCAATCTATACGTTTTCACTTTTTCGCCGTATTTTTCTATTTGCGTGGGATCGTTAGGATTAGCAAAGGCTAATGTAAATATACAGAAGGTTACTAGTCGCACTGTCATTTTCATCGTTGTGTTTTCACTTTCTATGTAGAGGGGTCGCGTGACGGCGCGCAGGCCCGGCGCGCATAAACTGAGCGCTGGCGCGGCAGCATCGCGCTCATATAGTTTTGATTGTGATGCACAATAACCCTCCCTGTGCGCTCTAATGCAATGGTAATTTCAGTTTGGTCACGACGAATGAGCGAGATAATTATGTGGCGATTGTCGTTTGCCGGGGACTATCTTAATTGACAATCGCGTCTTTCTCGGCAGGGCCGTGACCCGCGCTCAGGTGAAACCGTTTTTCATTTTGTGAAATGTTTTCTCCGTAGATAATGAGGAAAAGTTTCGCAGGTTCTTTTACCGTATGTCTTGAGATAGCCATCTTGATGTTTCTGTTGTAGACCTAACCTTTTCGGAAACAGAAATTTATTGAGCTTTCATCGTATCGTTGACTTAAATCAAAGTGTAAGTAATTAAAGATTTAAAGCTTAAAGAATTTCATTAAACATCGTAATAATGCCGGAGGTATTTCAAAATCTAAAAAACTAATGTCAGATTGAATACGTGATTTCCTTTCGCCTTTACCTGTCATCGGACGCGTGACCTAAACAACGCCAACTAGATCCATTTCTCGTCTCGTCTGCTCTCTCCGTAATGGGCCGCCATTATCCCTATCTGCTCTCGATCAACTCCGCAGTAATTGCACCTGCACTTTTACCAGATCTCTTTCTCAGTTTAGAATTTATCTCTTTAACTGCAGGGTTTTTACATACTTTTATCAGGTCAGCTCTATTAATTAATGGTTTGATAACTGCAAGTCATCCTCAGTAATCAGAAAACAATGTCGAAAGCGCTTAAAGTTTGAAATTTTCGTCGAAAATATTTCCATGTAACTTTTAGAAACATCTACATTTTCCAAAGAAAATAAAATAAGTAATTTTAACAATTTTCTTAAGTAGGTAGGTACCAACAACAGCAAAGATAAAACAATGGCAGGAAAAAGTTTCTAAGTAATATAAAGTTAAAGCAAGAATGCTCTCAAAAAAATTAAAACGGCGAAAGGTATTTCGCAATGATACATTGGAGTTTTATAAAAGCCGCTTCTTAAACATTAGTTGGCCTTTGCTATGAAAGGCAATTGCGTCATTACGGGGAGTCAATGTACTCGGAAATTGTACCAATGTGGAAGAAAGGCGGTGACGTCTTCTTCCTGTAAAAAACAGATTGATGTGGGCTATTATTAAGTGTAACCACTTCATTTTGTTTGTAGGCACAGTTTAATATCCAAAAATATCACATTGTAAAGAAAAATAATGTTTTTCTTTCCATAAACCAAATACTATGATTAAATGTATTAACAAAATAGAAACTGTTGTTCAATAATCTTATTTAAACTTACTTCAACAAAACAATTTCCGTGTGAAGTTTCATACAATAACGATTTGTTTATTAATAAAATATCTTTTTTTTACAATAACATTGGCAAGCTCTTATATTAAGGTCATACATTTACAGGATCATTTGTAAAATACTGGCAACCACCCAGGACTATAGTATTAACTTTTATTTAACCAAAAATAAACTTTTGTTGTACTATCTGACACTTTTTAGATCTATATTTGGTAGTAAGTTCAAACATGCAAGCGCTTTTCCCATTGAGCACCACCCCCGCTCCTGCGTCTTGCATCGTATCGCACAGAATTATCACTGTTTGGAGTGATCTATTTAAATATTTATATTTTTGTACGAAAGCAAAATGTGATGAATTATTAAAAGTTTAGCAGCCTAGTCCTGCGAGGCAGTTAATTTTTTACGAATCATGGGAATCATTTCTTGTATATACATTTTATAAACATGTATCAAATGTCATTGCATAATTGATCCAATGTCGAAGGAAATTATAACCATACAAATCTAGAAGAAAAGGTAAAAACAATTCGCATTCAGCACGGTCTAGCGAAATGATTGACTTTCCTACGGGCAATGTTACCCAAAAATACTTTTTAGAGGGCGGGTAATCTACTTAACAGATTATTTCCCTAGGGTCTCTTACCAATTACCAGGAAGTCGACAACCAAATGCAGAGTCAAGGTGAAAACCTCTCGTTCACGGTCACGGCTCGATAATTTTTTTTCATTTCATTTAACGCCAACCTCTTTTATGCTTTCTACAGATGGTTTTAAAAGATTTCTAAATACATTTTCACTAGCACTTTTCACCATAAAGAGCATTTGTTAATCGATGAAACGGAGTAATGGAGATAATTATGGTAATTTACAATCGCTCAAGGTATAGCCGCGTGTTTAAGCAATTAACCGCTAAAATGGAGAGAAATACTAAGCAGGTCATTATTATGACTTTGGTGCGACATTTTTGACCGACTTCAAAAAAGGAGGAGGTTCTCAATTCGATTGTATGTTTTTTTTATGTATGGTACGCGATAACTCGCGTTTGTGGATCAATTTTGATGATTTTTTTTTGTTCGAAAGAGGGTACCTCAGAAGTGGTCCTATTTAAATTTAGAGAAGGGTGGCAAACTTTTGAGATCGGTATTTTTAGTACTCTGTACTGAGATTATAATTTTTAATTTATTTGTGCTGTTTCCATTAAAATGAAGTTAATATAGGCCAAAAACAAAGTACAGTAACAGACAAAGTACATATACCTTGCAAGAAATCACCACGTACCTATGTGTAACAACAATATTATAAATAATATCTGATAGCTTTGGTTATTTTTGGTCTTGAGTCAGGAACACAGTCGGTCAGATTCTAAGAATACGAACTGAGGGTCTGATCGCTAAATCAATCATTAATCAAATCTTTATGAATGTTTGTCAGCATGATGCAAATAAAAGAAACTCCTGCATATGAATTGCGTTTTTATTTACCAATTTCCGGATCCCGGAAGTCATTATCGCAACAATAACAAAACGAAGTAATGTTTGCATTCTTACGATGAAAGTCCCATAAAGCCTCAATGGCGGGTCGCTTGAGAAGACTCATAAACAGTGTTACGTAAAAGTTAAAATAAACGAGTGTTCTTAAAAGTTTTTAATAACAATTTCTTAGTCTAAACAGTTAAGTTGAATCATACATAACATAACATTCGCAACACAAAGTAAGATTAAAGATAAAGTTAATTTACTAACAATTACACTTCGTTTTGGTATAGCAAAAACATAACGTATGTCATTGGAATAAAACTCGCTTACATTTGAAATAAAAGAAGTTAAGGTTTTTTTTTTATAATACCAAGTGTGCCAGAGTGGTATGCGACACGCTCACTAATAACAGTTGCAGTGCCACTCGGAGCTTTAAATCGCAAAGATCTTAGGAGAACTGCCACTGCTCCCGTCACCCTGCCACGTAAGTTAACCCGCCAACTCACACGTGCCCGTAATTTCATCATCTCATTTCATAGCTCTACAGTTCTGTTGCTTAAAACAACAAAATGTTCGTTACAAAATAATACACGTAAATAAAAGCAAATACGGTTGGACTTTGAGAAATTATAGAGCCAAATTTTCTAATATATAAATGCACTTGATTAATTAATAATATACAAAGACAGGGAAACTAGAAATGAAACTATTGTTTTCAGATTATAATCGCGTAAATACTTTCATTCCTAAACAAACCAAAGCTTTTTACTGATTGATCTCTTAGTCACGGCTGCCTGTCATGGGTTATGTCTAAAATTAATGCCCTAATCGATTTTTTGACGATCGACACATGTCATATCGATCTACAAAAAATACAAAATTGATCGCATGCTTCAAATCAAATCATTTATTTGCTACAAACATGGTGGCCAGTAATATAGTGAGTACAAATATGTTTCGCCAAAAATAAAACAGGCATGCAAAAAATTGGTCGTCACAAATTATATATTATAATCAGTATTACATTAATAATATGCACATTAATAATGATTGTCACGGGTACTCAAATTAATTTAAATTCTATTATATAGTAGTAAGTATTGAAAAAAATCCCTAATACTATATACTTTATCCCTCAACAATTCATATAATTTCATCTTAAATAATTTAATGGGCAAAGTCCTTAATGTCATTTGGTCCTGTATTGTAAATTCTGAGACATGCACAAAGGTAGGTACTTCAAAAAGAGATTTCTGTAATTTTGAGGTTTGATCACAATAGTTTTAGTAAACAAATAATGTAATTTTTTTTTTACAAAAGCAGGCAGGGGTAACAAACCAAGATCTTTGAATATAGGACTTCTTGCACATTTTCGATGACTCGATTTTGACCGACACATGTTGATCGACACAAAATACGATACCGATCATCTGTTGCTTACAGATTTACAAGATTTGTGTGATCACAATCCTCGATCGTCAAAAAATGGAGCAAATCTGTAGACATCTTTAATATATTATAGTAGATTTGATAAAAGAAGTCCAATTTCCAATGGTGTAATTATCTTTAGTGTAAAAATATTACACTGAGCCATTTCTAACGATCCATGCGGCATGGACAGAGATCCGAACGTATACTCCAGGATAGTGATAATGGCCACAACCGTATCCCCAAGAAGTGATTCCCATGATAACATGGCCTGCACCACTATTATTGTGTATAAGAGGACCGCCACCGTCCCCTTGACAGGTATCTTTACCACCGAAGTTTAATATACCGGCGCAAATCATACTAGGGGTGACATCTGGTAAATCTCTATTACCAGGCTGCGATTTAAGGAAGGCGTACCTTTGTACACATACATTTTGATTGATGATGTTTAGGTTTACGTCTTGAAGCTGCTGCGATCGCGATGATTGGCTTCCAGACTGAAATTTTATTAATAATTATTATTTTAACATAATTATATCAATTGATAGTACTACCGCCGATTGCAGGTCTCCGCTAGATCATTCAGCGTAAAGCAAAATCGTGGCGTGCTCGTGCATGCGTGCGTGCGTGGGTGCGTGCGTGAGTGCGTGCGCGCGTGCGTGAGTGCGTGCGTGCGCGCGTGCGTGCGTGCGTGCGTGCGTGCGTGCGTGCGTGCGTGCGTGCGTGCGTGCGTGCGTGCGTGCGTGGTTGCGTGCGTACGTGCGTGCGTGCGTGTGTGCGTGCGTGGTTGCGGGCGTGCGTACGTGTGTATGAGAAGAATAGTATCAACTTACCGCCCAATCGCCCCACCCAGTAGCAATGACAGCGGTGCCGTCGGGTAAATCGTAGTTAGATCCAGCTATCTGAGCTACCCTCACTCTATCTGAGAATACCGCAGGTTCATAAAGGCGGACAATGGCTACATCGTTGTTCAAGCGAGACGGTTGATTGAAGTCCTCGTGAATAATAAAGCTGTGGACCTGATGAAGGGACCCGCCACTGGAAGAATACGACGATCCCAGGCGGACCCGCCAAATCAGTGACGGAATCGATCTGGAAAACGTTTAAGGTGGTACGATTAACAACTAAATTGCAATCCCAGAATATAAATACGAATTTTTCATTATATTTCGGATGTTACAAACTGAATTGTATGAACCCTGAGCCAAGTCTTTGTACAATTTATGCTATAATAATTTTATTTATTAGTTAATTTTGGAATTAACTGGATTTCACACCTACTGTTACATACGGTAATAAAGGACTGAAGATTAATTCAATTCAGTGTTTGAATATAAAGCCATCTATCAAACGATGATTCCGTTAATATATAATCTGAAATAATTACCTACCGCACTTGATAAAGTCAGGCTACTTGTGACAGATTTCCTCCAGGGAAGTACTGCCGTCATAGCCAATCTACCAAGCACTAATGTGAGCATTACTGCGTGTCGGTTTTAAAGAGCGAAGGCGTTGGTGAAAGTACAGTCACATGGGATATGTCATGGAACTTGTCAACTTATGTCTCTAGGTGACTGGCCTAGTGGCAGTGCCACTCAGATCTTCGCGACTTAAAAGCTCTGAATGTCATTACAACTGTTATGGACAGGCGTGTCGCCTTACACCCGGCCCACGGCTCGTTCGTTCCATCTCTTAGTATCATGAAAAAAAGTCATAAGCTGTTTCAAAGAGTGTGTTTGTAAGCACAAAACAATCCCTTACGTATTTATTTACCTAAGTTTCAAAACCGTAAAAAGAAACAGAACAGTAAATCAATGTACACAAAAGTCATGTGTGGCTCCTGACACGCGTTATTTCCGAAAAATATAGAGCTCCTTGTGACTGAGTTCGTCCAGAGAAGTGCTGCCACCTTACCAATTCTGCCACCAAGTAGTAATGTGAGCATTACCGCGTTTCGGTTTTGAAAGGTGAGGGTGTTGGTGAAAGTGGGACTTGTCAACTTATGTCTCTAGGTTAGGTTAGTGCCCCTCAGATATTTGTGATTTAAAGCACCGTCTGGCACTGCAAATGTTATGGACTTGCTCGTCCCGTTACCTGGTATTATGAAAAAAACATATCACATCACAGTCCTGCACTCAATCGCGTAATCTAATAATGGAAAAGTACAATGAATTCTATTCATATTTATGTGATTTTATGTATTTTGAAATAGTTTACAAATATATCCCAAAATGAAACAACAGCTCTTAAAAACTTCCACTACATTGATGAGAGCACAATCTCTTGGAAATCAATGCCAAAGGTAATAACTAGTTACGTACATATTACTGTAATGCACATAGCAATGCGCATTTGAAAGTACAGTCCGGCTTGTGATTAAGGTGCCTCCACACTCCTGGGACCATACGATGCCGTACCTCTGCAGCTGCATGTTCGCCATGTATGGATACTGCTCTATTGTAGTGAAGTCGCCACCTACTATGCGATTTTTCTGAGCTGTGGGCCATAATATATATCGATTACAATAATAAATTGTTAATAATAAAGAATTGTTTTATTACATTTTGCAAAATCATTTCATCGTTCGTTTTCAAGGTATTATAAAAATAAAACTTACCAATGACGATGCCTATAAGTAAATATAAGCAAAAATAAAAAATATTATCCATTTTCGTTCAATTTTATAAAACAATGCTACTAAATACAAAAGCATGTACTAAATACTTATCATTAAAATATATTAATATCTATATGATAAAAATTAAGCAGCAATCAATTTTTAATCATTTTTATCTTGTAAATCTTAAGCGTTATCAATTTTTTGGCTGGATTAAATGCTTTCGCAATCATCCGGTTAATATAAACCGAGCAAACCCTCTGCAATAATACCGTTGTCAAACCTGACGCCCCAAGAGAAGTGTGTGTCTACTATCTGTCAATTTTACGATGTTTTAAACAGACCTTTGTGTATCCTATTGTTATCTATATAATAAAAATCGCAAACGTTCACTTCAGTGGTTAGCTTCAGGAGACAATAGCAACGACTACATGCTGGGTAACTCAGGGAGCTCATATCAAGTAGCAGTGGAACTCCTTGTGAAAGATTTCGTCCAGGGAAGTACTGCCACCTTACCTATTTCTGCCGCCAAGCAGTAATGTGAGCATTACTACGTTCCGATTTCGAAGGGTAAGGGTGCTGGTGAAATTACAAGCACATGAGACATATCAACTTATGTCAGTGGCCCTCAGATCATTGTGATTTAAAGCTCTGAATCGTTTACTGATGGACAGTGTTGCTTACCACCAGGCGCACGAATTGTTCGCCCTATCACTTAGATTATAAAAAAATCTAACAAGTAACTACACAGCAGAGTCAGTAGAAACTAAAATTACAAAACTCACTTATGAAATTGGCGCATGCGGTGCTAAACAGTAATAAATAAAACCGTTAAAATAAAAAAAACGTATCATTTGCAAAACACAACGAATAACGTAGGCAGAGTCACGTACGTAATTATTACTACTACCTAACTAAGTATCACAAGAATAATTAATTTCATTATTATCGTAACATTTGATAAATTTTTTGGCTTCAGTTTATTCACAAAGGTCTGTTTGTCTTTCGCTTTTAATTCCAACACAGCAACATTCCAATTTTTAACAATACAATCATTATAAAATGCAGAGTAAAGAAACTAAATACCAAAGGCATGATTTTGACAACCACATGACCTGTATATCTGATCTTCATACTACTTCATGTTAGCTGCAGGGATGGATACGTTCGTCTGCTCCGGTAGCATGTGTCCGGGACTGTGTGTATAATTAAACATTAGCTAACATGGACTATTTTTTTATTATTATTAATTTTGTTTGGTACTTAATGTTTTCGATAAACATTTCTTCATCATCATCATGTCAGCCGGAAGACGTCCACTGTTGAACACAGGCCTCCATCTAGTAGGGGGCCGTTCCACTGAACGCCTTCCGATTCGTCGTCTCAATTCGAGAACATTTCTGCTCCAACGGTCGTCAGTTCTATGAGCTATGTGCCCTGCCCACTGCCACTTCAACTTGCTAATCCTTTGAGCTATATCGGTAACTTTCGTTCTACTACGGATCTCCTCACATTTTTTACAAAAATCTAATTTGAATTTCGATAGGGTGAGGCTAAGGCGAGGAGACGCGTTTAAGTTGGAAGCCATGTCCCGACATTGCCACAGGATACTGCAACCGACATATCTGGCACTAGCCCGAAGAACCAGTAGAGAATAGATATTCTCCGATCACTCCGGTCTCGTTGGTCTCTGGGAAACTGGAAAGACACTTCGGCGTTGGGAGATGAGCGTGCCGGCTCCGCCACCAAAGTGGACTTTTGGTAATGGACTTTAAAGTCATCGGCTTAGAGGTCGCAACCGTTAGATGTGCATTGCACAACGGTAAGTGAGCGAGTCAACATCTCCGGTACGTATCTGGAAAATAGGGAGTGTACTATACGTACACCCGGTGCAAGTCCCCAAGGCCTTTTGAGAACCGGATGAAGTCTACGTAAATGAGCTGATCTGGGCTTAGAACCTGACAGATGAAATCCCTGCTATTAGGTTTGCTTGCACAGATTATAGTGCCCTTCTTGTATACTCTAGGGGTCGGTAAGGAGGGTCTCTATAAACAAACGTTATGTAGAAATGTACAGGAATGTTTTATCTTCATGAAACAGGAGGGGCTTCCAAGGCCAACTTTTTTAAAGGCATTAATTTTGTTATGAATGTGAGGTATACCAGCATTTAACTTGCAAGGCGTCATCCGGCCATCATTCTTAACCAAACTGTAACAAGTGTAGATAAGCGTGTCATTTTGCTCTAGATGAATCACATGAACATTATTGTATTGCACGGGTAAAACTTACCGATTTGAAAGATACTTACTTTTTTAAGACAATGGTATTACTCTTAACTACACTGGAACGAGCTTACCCAGAAGATACTATTCTGTAGCACCTTGAAGATATTCCGGTTACTTGTGCTCGAAACGACAGTCGCAGGCAGAGATTTTCAGAAATGAAAACAAAGCTGTGCACATAATAAAAGATGACGAAAAGCGCTTAGTACGCCTGATGTATACATTTGGATGTCCGATGGCAAAAGGGAGCAGACGGAATGGGCTTAATGTTGTGTGTTGAGTTTATCATTTATTTATTTTTGAATAACCATAGGCTATTCCAACCAAAACCTGCAATATGAGACCTTAATTATTCCCTTAAAAAAAACAGAAATAACATTGAATGAATTGGAAACCAGAAACTGATTTTTTTACCAAATTAGTAAACGAAGTTTATTAATGTACATATAACCTAATCGGTGTTTATCAGACTAACAATAAACATTATCATCACACAACCCGTTGACAACTTGAATTCGATATAGATTAAGCGTCTTAATCTATGTCGGATTAACATCACAACAATTGCTTATTGAACTAGTTCTAATACAATCACCGACTCGAACATGTCAAAGCAACTTTCGTTCTTTGTTTTCCTTCGAAAAAATTTTCCTGATTGATCATAGAGTAGAATAATAAAACGAAATAAATAAGAAATAAAAGTTACTTGTTTTTTGACAGTTTGATAGCAACAATTTATGATTACCACGGTCCCCACACTAGGCGAGCCTGTATCGTGAGGTCAATGACCTCCTATTTACGTAGAATACTTAGCCTCTAAATTGAACATAATGAATTAAAAATACGTAAACAAGTAAAGTTAAGACATATTGGGTTGGTACATAATTATATTTAGTAGCAATACAGCTCTGCACCTTACCTATTTCTGCCGCCAAGTGAACATTGCTACATTCCGGTTTTAGAGGGTAAGGGTGCTGGTGAAATTACATGCACATAGGACTTTTAATTTTTTGTCTCAGGTTGACATAATTTGGCAGTGCCTCCCAAAACTTTGCGATTTAAAGGTCCAAGTGGCACTGCAACTGCTATGGACAGGCGTGTCGCTTACCACTAGGCTTACGACTAGTACGTCCCGTCACGTGCTATCAATAAAAATATATACAAAGAAAGAAATACTTTTTTATTTATACATATATGTATATTTATTTTTATATGTATGAATAAAAGTAATAATTAATTGTTTATGTGACTAAATAATGGTATATTTTAGCCGATTTCAAAAAAAAGGAGGAGGTTACACTTTCGGCTGTTTGTATGTTTTCAGATATCTCTAGAATTGTGGACCGATTTCGAAAATTCTTTTTTGTTTGAAAGGGTATACTCTCGAGGTGGTCGCGACGCTGTTCCGGGTTCGTTTCGGCTGTCACAAATTACTAATTATTTTCCGAAATAAAAGTCGACTTTTCACTTGACACAATACTACGTGTATTCAAAAAATCAACGTCACCATGATAACCAGAAAAGAAAATACAAAATGTTTGTACATTCTTCATTATAGTACCTAATCCGTATCTGTCCCATTGTCACCAAGAAGTCAGAATCTGATGAGGGGATCCCATGAAGATCGAAAAAAGCCGATAAGCAAATTATCGAAGTCGGATTTTTGAACGAAAATGTTATTAAAACATAATAAGTGAAATCCTGCTACAACATTCAACCAATTAAATTCTCGACAAAATCGTAAGTGAAATCAGGCATAGTTGGTTCTTCTCGTTCTACAGGTACATTTACATACAATGACAATACAGAACAGAAATATAAACAATATTGTATGAAAGCACTCTCTAATTCGACAAATATTACGCGCAGCAGCCATAACAGCGGTCGCACTACATCTACGTTGCATCACACCGATTTCGACCCGAAAGCGTGATTGCTCTGAGTGTTACAAGACCAAGAACAAAGCACTTTCGTTGATCGTATAAACGCTAGGTTAAAGTATGAACAGAGATGTACATAGAGACTTATTTAAAAGCTTTTGAATAAGAGTTTTTAAAATAAGTTTCTCTTTAGTCGTGTTAAAAATTCTTAATTAATTATTTTATTATTATTGTATTATATTAATATTTTATTATATTAAATTAATTCTTATAAATTCAAAATCAAAATTCACTGCTCTTTTTATGTTGTGCTAAGTGATTTGTATCTATTGTACAGATCGTACCCTTGATATAATAAAGCCACATTAAAAGTGCTTTTATCACAAAAAAAGTCCTAAAAATCATACGAACTATATTAAAAAAAATTGTGAAATTTTATAATTCTTTTATACAATATAAAAATGCATGCGAATTTATACATAAATATAAATTCGCTCGTAAAATCTTTCAACATCTATCCTAAAAAGTTGTCAAATTGCAATGGCCTTATTATGCAACATGGACACGATATATTAAAATGGCAGGAGTTTAAGCAATTTACTTACAGCACTTAAAATATTTTTATAAGTGAAAGTAAAAAAAGAGGAACTTC